GCCCAGCCCCTCGCGGAGCAAGGTCAGCACAGAAAGCTCTCTCCTCCGCTCCTTCCGGAGGAACAGGCTTTATTTTTAATCCGAGATCCTGTGGGCTGTGATAATCCACGAGCATGCTGCAGGGTAACCGACCCTCTCCCGCGAGCTGCGCAGTCAGCTGGGTGCCCCAAAGGCTGAACGGAGCTGGTGGTCCTGGGTCCAGGGCGGCCTCCGGGCCCCGGAGCGCCGCTGGTGGTTCTCTAAGGTTGAGGGAAGTCTGGAGGAAGGGACAAGCCACTTCAGTGGTCTTCAGGAGATCAGGCAGGGATGCCCTGGGCTGCTGATTTTGTCTTTGGGCAGGAGAGTCCCCTGGATTTTATGGTCCTTAGCAGGGCTCAGTCATTGAGCGGGAGAGCAGTAGCAGTGAAGTAGGGCATGTGCTTCTGCTACCCCCACCACCTTTCCACAGAATCATCTCAGTGCTAATCATGCTGGCCCATTTTCCCCTGGATTAAGCAACATTAAAGTATTTCTTTCCCTAAAAAAGTATTTTCCACCCCCCCATGGGCTCCATCCAGCACTGTTCCCTCAGTAGGTGCTTCTGCAGAGCCTTGTGCTCTGCACTCCCCTGAAGCACTTCTGTGCACTGTTACAGCATCACCATGTTTTGCATGAGGGAAGTCTCTGCTTTTCCAATGGAAAAAAAAAAAAAAAAGAGATGACGAAAAAGAGCCGACAGGGCCATGATCTGATGGACGGCTCTGTACCTTTATGGAGGAGCAAGACCTGCTGACCTACGGGACCTCTTAGTACCAGGGTTCAGAGGTACAGCTCACTGTAGGTGCAGCACTTTGATTCCTATGAAAGCTATTATGTCGCCCTGGATCCTTCAAGTACAGGTGTACTTAATCATAGCAAAACATTTTTCTATGGAGCCAGAAGCAAGGCTTTCCATCTTTTTCCACTTTTTCTTCAAGATCAGCTCAGTCAAAGGGCATCTGGTCAGTTGACTATGAGGACAGTGACACTGGTTCCTCATGTGCCATTGCCTCCCACTGCTTGCTCGATAGCAAGTCCATGCAGTTCTGCTTGGGAAATTGAGTTTGATTCATCTCTATGCAGTGAGCTAAAGTTCAGTTTATTTTAACCTAGTTTAGCAAGTTGGCATTTTAGGTCCATCAGGAAGAGCCTTGCAGTTTTGGTTCAGCTGGGGAACACACCACTCCTGTAAGGGGATAAGATATATGATGGGGGTGCGGTGTGAATGGCACGTAGACTATCTGTTTGGTTTGGGGTTGGGGTTTTTTTTGCCTGCCTGTGGCTGTAGCCTTTCTCCTGCTGAGCTTCTGGTGCTGTCTTTTAGGGAAGTCAGCTGAGCTGGATTATCAATCAAGCTCAAGGAGGCAAAAGGAGGCAGGCAGAAGCTAGAGCTTCTGCTTTAGGGAGCAGAGTGATGGAGGAGAGCAGCCAAAGTGAGTGTTCCAAGAGGGTGAGTGCAGGGTACACAGTTCCCTAGGTATCACTTGTATTTAATTTGTTGTGGCTTTTTTTAAGGGGTTGTGGGTGAGCTGTTTGTAGTACTTCATGTAAGGATAGATAATATGATGTGTTACCTGCTTTAGAGTGGCACAGTAGGGTTTGTAGGTTACAGGTTGTATCTACATGGGGTTTTTTCTTCTTAGTGTTTGACCTGCTGAAGCTGGAGGCTATGGTATTAGTTGGGGAGTGAGCCTTAATAGTTATGATGAAGAGAAAGTTGCAAGTTACTTAAATGAGTTCTTAAAGTTTGAATACATCTATTACTTTGCAGTAACAGAACATTCTGTCAAATGTGTTGTAACTCCACACACAAGAGTTATATAATGAAAGAGAGAGTAGCTTTGAAATATAAGCAACTAAATGTAATTAATTACATGGTTTTCAAAAGGTGAAATAGCAGTATTGTGAACAAGTAACACTCCTTGAAACTATATTTTTTTTATGTTCTTATCAGTATAACCTTTGGTGCATATTGGCTATCCAGTGAAGAATGGTTTCATCTAAACAGTGTCTGCCTTGTGAACTGGACCTCCCTGACTCTCTTCCGTGAGCTTTTTGTTCCTTTTGCTTTTCAAATTTTCGAGTTTTGTCTGAAGGTGGGAGACTGGTCGATGTACCCCATTCCCCTCTGTAACTGACCTTTGGTCAAATTTTGTCAGGACCAAAGTTCCCTAGAGATGTGAATGAAGGAGAGCTGTCTTATCTTTCTGTGGTTTTCCCCCCTCACCTTCCTTCTTTTTTTTTGTAGGATTCAGAAGAACTGAGTCTCACTTCTGTAAGATTACACTTAATACTTTTGGGGGGAGCTTTTCTATGGTGTAAATAGCACCCATATTCTAGTGAAATCAAACTGTTGAAATGGCAGGTGCGACCTCTGGAGAATCTCCTCTGATGATCTGCAGTGGAGTTATGGCTTTGGCCTCCAGCTAACCACTTTGAGGCGCCTGGCAAGGGCTGTCTTGCCCCAGTTTGCTAAATATGCAGTAACACCTGTTTTTAGCAAGCCTTATTAAAAAAGACCCATGGGGTCTTTCAGTTCGCTGTTCTGCAGCACCCCTCATTCTCTGGCGATTTAGGATGAAGAGTGCTGGTAACCCGGGTGTGGGCAGCAAAGAAGGGCAGCTCCTGTTGTGACCTTCTCGTGGGTTACCTGGGCTGGTGCCATTCTTACATGAACATTCGTATGTGGCTCTGGTATCAGACTTTCCAGACTCCTCTTTAGCCACAGAATTTGTGTGTATGGAGCCTTTGTAATAATGCCTGATTTAGGTAGTTTCAGAAGTTAGTTGTTTATTATTTTACTTTCCAAGCTCTTGGGCTCAATAAGAAAAATGTAAATATTTCTCATCTAAGCTCTGTGCCTTCATATGGAATTCCAGTACATGGCAAACAGCTCTTAATTTCTGTTGTGCTGAGTTTTGGACCAGCGTATCCCTATAATTGCTAGCATTATGTAAACGAGGAAAGAATAAGTTCTTAATGGAATATTGTGACATTAATAAGTTCTTGCATACAGCTCATTTCAGTAACTTCAGTGAAAACAAATCCCTTACATCAACTCCTTATTTTCTTTTTTTTGGCCATTGAATTAAAATCTTTCCTCTGTTTTTTTGGAAGTATTTGAATGTTGTTGGAAATTTCACATTGAATTACTACTATCACAAGCCAAGATTGCTTTGGCTCTAACAGGCTTTTTAATTTGATATTGCAAATTAACATGAGGCAGGTGTTTTGCATGTTGTACCTTTGCTTTTATTTAATAATACTATCAAGAATTCAGGAGTGGTTATTGTCGTATATACTGGTATTTCTTCATTGTTTTATGCAGGAATTAATAACTTATCTGCTGGTGAAATCTGCGTAGATGTTTATTTTCCCCATTTTTGTCTGCTTGCCTCACTGAGCAGTGACAATGGTCAGTGTATGTGATAATGTATTCAGGTAAATAAATGAAGCATGGTTTTGGGAGAGTAAACATACCCAGCTATTATTTTCTGCTATAACAGTTTATAGCCTTCTGATGTAAAGCTTGAATGCAGCAGGGCAAACTGTAAGTCAGGCCTGATTGCACATTTTCAATCAAAGTAATATTTTCATTGTTACTTCTAATGGAAAAAAATGGATTTTCCTTTCTGAAAACCTCTATCTATGATGCTGGAAGTCCCGAGGGCATCACATGCCTTGCCTGGCCCCTGTGGTGATGCTATCTAGGGTGTTCTTTCTGCTCTCCCTCTTTCTTCCCTCTGAAGATTCATGTGCTGACCCAATTTATTGATGCTTTGCCTTATAAACACTGATCACACTGGCAATCTAATGGGTACTGCATATTAACCTCCCACACTGTGAAAATAGCCTTTATTGCTAAGGAATATGCTTGATACGGAACAGAAGGTGATTCCATAAGTTTAATTTCATAGCCAGCTTCTTGTTGGTGAATGAAGGTTAGTGATACCTGTTTGAAGTGGGGTGTGTGTGTGTGTGTGTGTATATATATATATATATATATATATATATGTGTGTATATATATATATATATATAAAAAATAAAGCAAACTAATGTTGTCTTGGCTGCCTTCCAACTCAGGATTTTGTCAGTGATTTATTTTTTTTTTAACAAATCTTGACCAGAGCTCCTCCCCCAGATCAAATAGGCAGTGTGGTCAGCCATTCCTTCCTGTTATGGTTTTGCTAAGGTCAACTGGAGTGGTATTGAGCTGTGAGCTTGAGCTAATTAGTGGTGAAAGGAGGGACATGTGATTGGTTTCCCCTGTTACTGGCAGAGCTGGCTGGTACTGTCAAATTGTCAGAGCTGGGCAAAGGGTGGCTCATCCTGGAAATGCATGACAAGCCTCAACTGACTTCAGAAAGCCCAGGCTTCCAGCTTCAGCCTTTTGCTTTGTGTTCCCATTCTTTAATTTGGGATACAATATTCTGGATGATCTAAAAACAAGGGTCTGTTTGATAAACCTGTTGAAAGTAGAGAACTCATTATTGTATTAAAGCAATGAAACAGCCTGTTTCACTTCCCTGCCTGTTTGTTACTCCTCAGCTGTTGCTGGTGCGGAATCAAGGGTTAGCTCCTCAGCTGGTATCAGCTGGCCTTGATTTCAATGAAATGCCTTCTAATTATATCAGCTGAGGATCTGGTCCACAATGCTTAATTCTTCCATTGGCTGGGACAAAGAGCTGCCTGGCAATGCAAGAACAAACCCTGTTATTGTTGCTAGAGCAATGTGATTGGCCTGTGGAGGGATCACA